TGACTCCTTTTCCAGCGGCCAAGAGCTTGCAAACACTGCAATGTGAACTATGCATTAAAATTTTATACACTAATATATATTTTACTGAACTTTTTAATAACCCAGGGAGAAATGGCTTTAAATAATTCAATACAGTGTTGGCCCCAAGCTGAACTATGCTACAAGTAACCATGTATAAAATATGACACTAATATTGCATACCTTAATATAATAAATGTTTATCTTGATAATAAGCCATTTGAATTCTAGTAATGTGGGAGTTACGGTTGCCATGGCATAGTCTTGTTAAGGTTTTAAATGAGACGTCAACGGCAGCAGCGACATAAATGCACACGTTCACCTCCTTGCTGTTTATAAATGAACCGACTGGACAGTGAATAGCTTATTCATCAATAAAAGTTTTAAATGCCATTTATGAAGCAATTGAGTGACTGGAGGAAGTGTGTTGCCAGTAATGTATGTTCTTTTCAGAGCCAGCTTTGGTTTTTACAGAAAGTCCAGCCTCAGGATGGAGGTCACCCTCCCCACCCAACAAGAAGGCCATTGTCAGAGAAAGGTGCTACTGACACATAGTAGGTGCTCAAGAAATTCTTGTTGGATGAATCTTTAAATGGCTGCTTTAGGAAGCAGAACCTAAGAATATGAATAGTTTCAAATCTGGTTATATAGCAAAACTACCGTGTTAAAAATACATATTTCTAAGCCCCGCACAGGAATCCCACCCCAAGTCTATGGTAAAGTTGTTTTTCATTAAACATCAATAGGATTGTTAGATAGAGGGTGCTGGAGTTGAAAGAAACCTTGGAGATGGCTTATTTCAACATTTAAAATCACGTAGCTAGTTTGTGGGAAAGCGAGGAACTAAATCTGCCTTCTGGCTTCCATGCCAAAGCTCTGAAATTCTTTCCACTAAGCCTGTGCCTCCCAACTGTAGCATGTATCCATTAATTCAATTAGTCAGAACTCTTTGGTTACAAGTGAAACTATCCTAATGTAAACCAGTCTAATCAAAATATTATATGGCTTCAGGTATAGCTTGATCATGGGACTTAAATGATATCATTGGGACTTGGCCTCTCTCCATGTTTCAACTCTACTTCCCTTCAGTTAGTTCATTCCCAGACAGCTTTTCTCTACTAGGTGGCCTCCAAGACTTTAGGCTATCGCCCAGCAGTTTAGCCACCCTGGTTGTCCCAATAATAGCAGCAGAAATCTTAGGGCTGATGCTCATTGGTACAAGCTGGGCCATGTGTTGACTCCTTAAGCAATCACCGTGCTCCAAGGAAAGCAACCTGAGGCCCATGCCCACCTCCCAGACAGAGGGAGTCTGACTGTGCACAGGGAGGGGGAGGGATGTTTCCTCCACAGGGAAATTGAGACACTTGTCCAGAAAGGGATGGAGGTAGAACAGGAACAGCCGTCTCCTCACCTGTGATGGCTAGAATGTAAAATCACAGAGAAATTCAAACATCTTTCTTCAGCTTCTCAGTACCTCATTAAAAATATATACATAGAAAGAAATTGAATGTAAAATGTTACACTAAAACAAGCCCAAATCTACAGAACACAATTCATATAATTTTTAAGATGAAACAGGTAATTTCAAGAGCCCTCTAGATTGCCGCAGGTGGTTGAGGCCCACCTCAACCCCTCCCCATGTCATCAGCAAGGAGGTGAACGAGTGCATTTATGTAGCTGCTGCCGTTGACGTCTCATTTTAAAAAAAACACCTTTTTCTGGTTTTGAGATGTTAGCATTACACACGTGGCTGATTAAAAAGTGAAGGAGCACAGAAGAACTTGGAAGGGGAGGCCTCAGCCACCCTCCCCACAGCTCCCAGTGGGGCCACTCTGAATTCTTCCAGATGTTTCCATTGGTGGGTCATTCCATATCTGAAGATATAAGATTTTAACATGCTTTCTAGATGGATCAGTTTTCAGCATTATCTATTAGCTTCCTGATTCACCTGAATTTAGATGATCATATGCATTCCACAAAAGGATGCCTTTATAACTAAATTCTATCTATATATTTCTATTCTCAGGACTGTTATCCTTGACATGTCCTTGATGAGATGAAGATATTAATTTCTCTCCCTATTTGTTCCTTCCAGCCCTGGTCAGAGTTACTTTATGTTTTCAAGATTAAAGTTCTGTTCCACAACTACAGGGTGTGGTTTCTGTCCTTTATTTACAGACTGAGTCTAAAAATGGAAATTCAGGTCCTCCCCAGTGGCGCAGCGGGTTGAGGGCCGCGCTGTGAAGCTGTCCACAGCCTCTGCAGCGCAGGTTGATTCCCGGCCAGCCAGGGAGAGTCCCACGTGGTGTGGCAGACCTCTCCTGTCTTGCCCGCTGCTCCCCTCATCAGTGTTTTCTGTCCTTCTGCCTGTTCTGCTCCCCACTCTGTCTCTGGTGAATCCTCTCACCTTCCCGCACCTCTGGCTGTACCCCAGTTCTTGTATAAATAAATCAATCTTTTTAAAAAATAAAAATTGAAATTCAGAAAGCAGTGTTTCAGGATTATAACTAGGCAAGTATGAATGGCAGCCCAGCCAGTTACTGTAACACAGAGTTTTGACTTTCTTGCAGGCTTCTTGTTTGTCCTGGAGTTTCTATTTGCCTTACAATCAGGGAGTCAAACAAAAATTATTCAATCACCAACCAAGTCAATTTTACTCAATATATGGGGGTGATTCATAGCAGAGGGTGATCAGAATGAACAAAGCACTAGCCCCCAAAGTGCAGGGCAGAGTTTTGGAAGTTCCTGCTATGCTGGACATTGATTTCTCAGTGTCTGGATCATGGTGAAGTCCAGAGAGCCTCAGAAAGGGGCCAGGTTGTGGGAAAAAGGTGGCTCATGTTAACTGCTATTTAACAACCAATTCAGAAGCATTTTAACCGGCACATTCTGCCTAAACATCAGGCCGGCTAACAACCCATTTTCTCCTGAGTTTTCCTGCCATCATCTCCTTCTGAACTGACTGCTTTCTGGACCTACATTCCAGAACCCCTGCCCACCACCTTGCTGTGCTATGGGGGATCCCCTGTGTCTTCTTTCCCCAGAGAACAAGAAAAAGAGAGAAGGGAAAAGGGGTTCCCATACCCTATTCCCTGTATGGGCCACCAAATGCCCTCCGGAAGAATCAGGTTGTAGGCCAGAGGTGAGTAAAGGAATTCACCATAGAGTGGAGAACAGAAAAGGCAGATTTATTGAAATACACTGATTTGCCACCTTGTTTTCTTAAATATAATACCCAGTTTTGCCATTTGTTATTAAATTCTGGGTGGTGATATTCAGCACATCTAAGTACCAACTAATTCAAGTTTTCAGTCACTTGACATCTTGTTACAAAATCACACAAAGTTTCTGCTGTTTGAAGATCTCGTTTTCAGAAAATTAACATCAGTGACATACTATGGTTGAAGACGCACCACATTTGCAATTGCTTGAAAGCCAGCAAATGACAGAGGGGCCTCAGCAGTCCATGCAGAGTCAGGAACCCCCATTCTCCTTGCAGGATGCTTCATGTTCCAGAAACAATGCAGGACTATCCAAATATGTGAGCTGCACAATATCAATCTGGATATCAAATATCAGGAGATGATTAGCTGTGTTCTTGATATTTAGTTAAAATTCAATATAATTAGAAGCTCTAAAATTGTCCTCCTGCAGTCTAGTGTATCATCTCATGTACACTCTGTGCTGCCCAGCCCCCACCTTGTGCACCGCTACTCTATTCAACAAGCCATCACTGAGTGTCTCCTACACTTTAGCCTCCTGTCCTCAGGGAGCTCACTGTTTAGAAGGTACTAGAGACAAGAGGGGAGGCCATTACAGCCAGACTAATTAGTGATGGGGTAACGGGAACACAAATCACTGTGGGGCAACTAAGGAGGGGCTTCAGAGGAAGAATATCTAAAGTGTTTACTTAGATGTCCAAATAAGTGGATGAGTGCATAGATGTATAGATGCATGAAAAGATGGGAGGATGGATGGATGAGCACATGAGCTGGTAAATTAGTGGTGAGTCAACGAATGGTTGCCTGGGTGAGGTAATGTCACCGAAGACAGTGGGAGATGAGATCACAGGCCTAATTAGGACAGTCATCTTTTTCCTACACAGTGAACACCAAAGCATGGAGACAATATCCAAGTCATCTCTGCATTCCCATGTACAAGCCTGAAATTCGATGGGCATTCAACAATTTTATCAAAGATGGGAATCAAAGAACACCAGCAAGTTCAGGGAGCTCAGCCAAATCTCTTTCCCTTTCTGGGACTCGGTTTCTCCATGTACATCAGATATGAAAATCCCTGCCATGGAAATGTATGATGCTTTGGTGCTGCAAAAGGGAGAGGCATCTGAGGAGCTCTTTCAGAATTCACGGTATGACAGACCTCAAGGAACATGGCTCACCTATGTCCTCTCTGAGGCACTTCATGTGCATTATCTTATCCAACACGGGATGGCCATTATTATGATTATGCTCTTCTCAGCTGAGGCTACTGAGGTTAAGTGAGGCTAAGAAACTTTGAGTGGATGGATTGGGATTGATTGGCTGTGTGAGCCTGAGCAAGCTTTTCACTACTGAGGCCCTCTCAAAGATGTAAAGATTAAATGAGACAAAGTACATAAAGCACCCAGCACCCAGGGGTAGTCCTCTTTGCTGCCTAAGCCAGGAAGCAGCAGCGATGGGGTTCTGTTCTTATCAGTCAGGTTGATGGTCTTCATGAACAAAGAAGATTAAAGTTCTACTTAGGCTGTGGCATTTCACTGTAGGTGAGGAAGATTTCAACAACACATTTTGAAACTAAAATAATCACTGATTTGCTGGGGCCTTCCCCATCTCAAAGGTAATGGGGTTCCCTAGTCACTTGTTGCTATGCGGCGCTTACATGTCCTTGCTTTCCCCCGCCTGCCCCCTGGTGGTGAGTAGGGGCGCCACAGGCTCAGCCTCAACGTTCCATCCCGGGGAGCGCGGCTGGCAGGGCCCCAGTGCGCCATCTAGTGACCATTGTTAACACTCCGCGTGTGCTGAAGGAGCAGTTGAAACCGCCATGGCTGGATCTGATTAACCTGCTCGATTCCCTCACTGGGCCGTGCTGGGCATCTCGCTTCACCTCCCCGAAAGTTAGCTTCTTCGCTGATGAAGTGCGCAGCGCACCTACTTCAGAGACTATGAATAAGGTAACTGAGGTAAAACCCTAGCAAAGGGCAGATGCCCCATAAAATTTAGTTCCCCTCTTAATAAAATGAAAAAAAAAATGAATAAATTATTAAATTATTACAAACTGGCTCATTGTTGTCATAGAAGATTAAAGGCCCACACGGGTAGGTGAGTCTGGAGGGCGGGAAAAGAAGGACAATGGACTCGGGGCTGGTGGGGGTTGCAGGAGGAAAATTCCCTCAGCCCTCCTCAGTTGTTCCCCTGCTGGCTCAGTCATCAAATTAACATCAGGCAAATTAAGAGGAGAGAAAAACAAATTTAATTAATGTCGTATGTGTGTTCCTGGAGCCCATGCAAATATGAAGGCTCCAAGGACAGAAAGGTAAAGTGAGGCATAGATGCTGTCCTGAGCTAAGGAGGGGAACAGGGAGGGAGGGCGCCGCACGTGAGAAAAAGCAAAACACATCTTGGGTGATTCAACATTTCCCTCTTTGTGATAGTTTATTCAGATGGAAAGGTTATAGGTTATGTCTGTAAAAACCCTAATATCGGGTAAGACTGTCAATTTACATTCTTCGCATTAGGTATGAGAGTAGCAAAAGTTCCTCTTGAGCCTGCAAGACCTTAATTGATTTCAGCTTGAAATAACTCACCTGCCAAAGTGGCCCATCCTGGGGAGGCCTATATTGAACCCCTTAAGGCAAGTTGAGGACTGTGGGTGAGGAGTGGGGAGGATATTCTTAACCCAGCCCACGATTTTGGAAAGTAACTTCTGCTTGTGTTGTCAGGACACAACGAGTGCGGAGATCACAGGACACAGCCGAGCAGATGTGGACAGCAGCAGGTGTTCCAGGAAGGACTACAGGCCAGGTCAGTCAAGGAGGGCTCTCCCGAGGAGGAGATATTTGAGTGGTGGTAGGATCAGGAGAATGAGGAAGGGCGCTAAGAGATATTCAGATCATGGAGGAGAAGGGGAAACAAAGCATCGGGTCTGCAGGCTTTGTGAAGGAGACCAGCCAGAAAGATGGCAAAAGCAAAGGTTAGGCCAGGCCACCCTAGGACCAGAGCTCCCCTCTGGAGCATCCTCTGGATGGGGAGGAATCCGTGAAGACATTTAAACAGAGAGTGACCTGGACAGATGCTGTGCACAGTAGTCGAACTTGGCATCTCTGTGGGATGGGGAGAATGAGTAGATTTGATCAAATGCACAAGAATCCCAGGCAATCCCGGAAACTGGTATTGGACAGGAGAAGCGAAGGAACACACTGCCCCCTTGGCACCAGCACTTTTCAGCAGGCTTTGCTGGGTGCGATACTTTCACACTCAGCCCAACCCCTGTGCAGGCTGCTGCTTCCAGGGCAGGCAGGCAGCTGCTCCTCCCCGCTGGATGGGGAAGCAGCAGCTTCTCCTCTCGCTGAGCGACAAGGACACTTGATACAGGGCCAATCCCAGACCTGCTGAGCATCAGGATTACCTGGAAGATCTGGGCTTATGTGATAAAAACAAACTCCCCAGTTCCAGCCCAAAACAGCTAAGACAGAATCTGAGGGGTTTGGCCTTCAGAACAGAAATGTTAATGACTCCCTGGGAGCTGGAGATAGGTATCCAGGTTTGGGATGACTGAGGAGCCTAGAAAGAAGCAGCAGGGATTTGGAGTCAGTTGCAAAGAGCAGATGAGGAGCCAGTTCCAGGTCCATCCCTTTAGAGCTGTGCTGCCTTGGGTAAGTCACTTTACTTCTGAGTCCATGTCCCTACTATTAAGTAGGCCTGAAAATTCTCCCCAAAGGATGTTGGGGGCTCCCAGCACAGCACCTGGAAACTAGTAGATAGAAGGAAGATGAAATTTGGGGGATGCCTGAGAGCCCAGTTGCCCTTTGTGATGCTTCACACACATAGCTCATGGGCTGGTAATTAATCGTCCCCAAGAGGTGATTGGATATGACTTTGGGGGAAATGAGGGATGTCCCACAGCAAATCTAAGAAGCCAAGGTTGAGAGTTGGCCTGGAACTTACCTGGCCTATGACACCATCCCAACTGGAAAGCCCCTGGGAGAAACTGTGGGGCAGAGAGGGCTTATCCCTATGGCCCTGAGTCCATGTCCCTACTATTAAGTAGGCCTCACATCCCTTCAAGGACTCACCTTTGCTCTCTCCAGCTTCCACACCCTCACCTCATTCTTCCTGACACCCTCACCTCGTTCTTCCCCTTTCAAATCAAGCAAACCAGGCCTAGTTCCCAGGAGAACTACTGACATTCAGCAGCCTCTGAGCTCCTGGGACTCCAAGGTCTATGGGTAGATGTGGGGTGATCATTTAAGGTGGCCTGAGCAGGGCCTAGAGGCAGATGAGATGCAGTGAGGATGCAGGAATGACAGGATTTGACCACTGGTTGGATGTAAGGAGATATGAGGGAACAGAAGGTGAATCCCTGGTTTCTGATCTAAACAGGGATGAGCCAAGAGGTACGACAGGACACACAGGAGGAGCCCAGGTTCAGGGTACAGGAAGGCCACCAACTCCTTCATGGGCGGAAGGAGGAGAGAGGTATAGGATTCATCTCAGCTCCCAAACTCAATAGATTCAAAAGGGCTGAAACACACAGTTGTATTCCATTGTGTGTATGTATTTTCTCTCCTGAAAGAATCCAGGTGGGCCCCTTTGCTAGGTGGTAAGGCTCTCCCAATTAACCAGGAGTCAGACTTCCCCCATCTTATTGCTCTACCATCCATGACTACCATTGTTCAAATCACCTCAGGATCCACGGAGGCAGTCGGATTGAGCATTATGTCTCCTCCCAGCAGCAGGATGTGAGCCTCAGGAATGTGTGGACACACTGAGGGAGATGTGGGGAGGCAGTTAAGCTGAATCTGGGTCACCCATGGGCACTTGAGGGGGTGCTGGCAGGATGTTGAATGAGCCCCCCTAGAAGTGGGGGCAAAATCCTCTGCTGGGAGTGTGAGGGGTGATATAAGGCTGGAGCCTGGAGAGGTTTTCAGGGAGCTATTGTGGCCCGCCATGGAGAGAACTCCTGGCAGCACTGAGGGCCCAGCTAGCCTGCAGCCTCTGAGGCCACCTGCTGCCACTGGAGACAGAGAGTCTCCCTCCACTCAGTGCAAAAGAGGAGATCATTGGGTTCTCCTGGAACTGGAGAGTTTGGAGATTGAGTAAGATGACTGGACCATGGGGCAAGGAGGTTGAAGCTCCAGAAGAGGGTGGAAAGCCTGGTGTCCCATCAAATGGAAAGAGCAGTAACACCCAGAAGGGCTGACAGGGAGAAACCCAAGTCCTCCCAAAAGCTTTCTGGTCTCACTGAGGGCTGGGGCAGATGCCATGGGGAGGCGAGGGGCTGTGTTTAGAAAATGGAACATGTGGATTTAAGATGCTGACCATGAAGAGGGTCTCTGACCTGTGAGGGGAGGTCATGGGATGGCTGTGGGAATGAGAGGTTCAGGCAGAAGACAGGTGAGGGTCCCAGGAGACATGACTGCTGAGGGCCGGAGGGTCTGGGATGTGGGATGGGTCAGCCCCTGCAGCCACCAGAGTCCTGGGCTTGTGACGGCACTTGGAATGAGGAGGAAGGTGGGGGAGAGAGAGGAGCAAGGGGGGCTAGGACAAGGCAGCTCTGAGCAAGGATGGCAGGGTAGAATGGCAGAACCCGCAAAGGAGGGCTTCACACCAGGTGGGTTGAGAGTGGCATGAGGACTAAGGTGGCTTGCAACATTTGCAAGGGAGCAGTGTCCTGGGGGCTGGGTGGGGAAGGTGGGTGGTGAAGGAGGCCCCAGGACTCAGCAGGAGGGACTGATACTCCTCACTGCTGGGACTGCCTGATTATGGTGTTGCTCCCTCGAGACAGACATAGCGAATGTCCCTGGTGAACTCTGAAGGGACTTGGCTGTAGTTTTCCCAGGAGGTCACTCCCAGAGGATTAGATACAGGGTGGGCAAACAGTCTATAAGTCAACTCTGGCCAACACGTGATCTTGTAAAGTCCTCTTGGCACACACACCACATCCATTCATTTACTTGTGGTCTATGACTGTGTTCATACTACCAGGGCAGAGCTGCATAATTAATGTTGAGATGGTTTAGCCAGGAAGCCTAAAATATTTACTATCTGGTTCCTTAAGAATTTATCTCATTAGAGCTTATATGAGAGGTTGGTACACACAATTGCTCTCCCTGACTTCCAGTAATATCCTGTTCTGGACTAACCACATTTTAATTTTTTTTCCTATTTTCATTTTTTTTTTTTGATGTTGAGAAAGTGTGACTTGCAAAAAATTACCAAAAAATGCACTAATTTCCACTGTATAGTCAATGAATTTTTACACATGAATATATTCATGTTGTTACCACCCAGATTCTCTCAAAGTATGTATCCCCAGTATATATCCCCAGCTTCTAGACAGTTCTTTCTCATCCAGTATCCCCTGATCCCAGGTCACTGCTTCTGTGATGTTTGTCACTATTAGTTTTGCCTGTTCTTGAACATCAGATGAATGCAGTGATAACTACCTTTTGTGTCTGACTTTTTTCGTTCACTGTATGTCTGTGAGGTTCATCCATGTTTCTGCACCTTAGATGACACCTTATTAGTCTGCCTTGCTGGTGTTACTCCATTGCATGGATAGTCACCAATATATCCATTTCTCTACGACATTGAGGTTGCTTTCATTTGGGACCTATACTATGGAGAAGGTTGTGACAAACATTCTGTGTCTTTAGCCAGAGGTGGGCGCTCACTTCTCATGCATATATGCCTAGCAGTAGAATTTCTGGTTTCTGGTTCCTCAAGTAGTTTTCCAAAATTGAAGCAGTTTAGGACAGCAAGTCCTTGAACAAGTTCATTTTATTATAACTTTTGTTGAGAAAAGTTCAGTCCCAGCCTGGGCCACTGTGTGTGGTGTTGGCACATTCTCCCCGCGTCTGTGTGGGTTTTCTCCCAGCATTCCCATATCTTCCCACATCCCAAAGATGTGCATGCTGGGTTAACTGGCATATCTCAATATCCCCCAATCTCAGGTCACTTCTACTATAATCTCTGTCACAACTGGATATCACTAATGCATACTATTCACACCAGTGGGATCCTGATCTAGAGCTAGGTAGGTTCTCAATGTGTCCATATACTAAGAAGGTAAAAATTTAATCATCCATCTGCTTAAGAAGTATGGCTCCTGATTCCTTAGAGCATATCTTAAAATAATTTCCTAAGCCATGGCTGAGGTCCCTTCTGGAAGCAGGACAGTTCAGTTCCCTCTCTTTGGACAATAACAGTTTTCTCTCTGAACTGCAGGAATTCTCTGCTGCCCACCTTCTCTCTTCTGCACGCTTCTTGTGATGGGTCCATGTCTCTCTGTGAATTAGCTGTTGAATTAGCTGTTGTCTCTCTGTGCTACTCTGGTCAGTCCAAGAGAGACCCCTTGTGAATTTCTTTCATAAGATCTTATAGTTCTGGGGCCTTGTTATTGTACTTACCATAGAGTTCAGTTTAGGATAGATTGAGTTTCTCTCCTCTTTGGGATATGTGAGTCCAGCAGGAAAGTACATACACAGGTCAAGCACTTAGGAAATCTAGTTGGACTATATTTGTTGGATTTGTAATTGTTAAAGAAATGGATGAGATCACTCAAGGTACATAGCGGAGGGCTGAGAGCAACCTGGAGAAGCACATGAAAATGTTAGGGTACAGGGGTAGAGGAGCAGGACCTAGAAAGAACCATGTACTTTTTGAAAATAAGAACATATTTATCAATCCTACAAGTAGCATGTCATCAACACATATGACTATTTGTTTCAGAAGGCTTTGCACTATTAATATCAGTACCTAGAGAACATTCCCCATGAATTAGGCATCAGAGGATTTTAGAT